TTATCCTCATCACATCACAAACGACCAAAAGACAACTGTCAAGTTAATACAAATATTTGTAAATAATACCAAAATATTATACAGTATTCATGCAAATTAATTATATATATGTATATAATCTTGCTAATCATTTTTCTACAACAGGTATTACTCCCTCCCACACATATACATATAAGCTTGCTAACCATTGCTCCACAATAGGTTCTATTACATAGTGTATATTCTTTACTGCTTATCAGTAATAAAATTATTCTTGCTGTATTTCAAATCTCATTATCAGTGTGGGTGTGTATCATTGATGAGTAGAATAATGACTTTGTTATTTAATCTCCAACTTAATATCCTTTCATTATTATTAAAGCTTCTTTATATTAGAGTTTAGCACTTTCTTAAAATTGTTTTTAGTTTTCCTCTTCTTTTTCTTTTTTTCCATATCCATTTAGGACATTTGGAGATAATTGTTCTCGACAACTTCCTCTCTCTTTTTTTGCTCTAAGCAATGTTTTTTTTTTTTTGTTTAATCATCTCACCCAAAGCAAGGCAACAAAGCCGCTATGACACAAGGGATTACTGAGTGTGAAAGAATATAAGAAAAACATTATTAAGGAGTGAGAACAATAAATTAAGAAGACAGAAGATAATGATTGATTTAAATTTCTAAAGATCAAACTTGACTGGAAGGGAAGAAGTCAGAAGAGAGTTCCACAAGTGAGAAGTGCAAGAAAAGAACTTAGGGTGATATCTAATCATTTTGACTGCAGAATGGTGAAATCTTGTGCTTAATTAAATTTGTAGGGTACCATAGAGTAAAGGTCATCAGAACAATTAGCATGAAATTATTTATAGAAAAGGCACAGAGAAGCTACATTATGCCATTGGGAAAGTGAATGAAGCCAAGATGCCAGGTTAAGACCAATAACATTGCAGGTTCTTTTTTGGATTTTATCAAAAATCTCTAAATACATAGCAGCATTATCCACAAGTAGTGCGAAATAAGAACAAAATGAACTATCTGTAGATATGGATAGTTGAATGGGATCTATCTACGTCCATGGATTAAATAAAGGATTCAGTTAGAAGGTTACTTTGACTGACAGAGACACCTGAGGTAGGTATAATAGCTGAAATAGATGAAAACATTAGTCCAAATGTAAATAATGATAACTCATCCCAGAAATTTTGATAAAATATTCAAAAATAAGTCTAATATTATTTTGATTTTACATTATAATTTGATAATTTGTAATTATATTTCTAATTCTGGGGTCATAAAAAGACAAAGGCATCAAATAACAGCAGTGGTGTTCAAGTCTTTTATTGGTAATCCAACCAGTGGAATATAAGACAGGGAATTTTGGAAGAAGTATTTTCAGGAAAATATACAATGAGGAATGTCATGTAAGCGTATAAGTTGAAAGGTCTATGTGTATTTTATATTTAATTGTTTCCTTTTTTAATAACACTTTTCATTTCTTGGAGAAAGAAGTTTTCATGATCTAAAAAATGTTAGATTTTCTTTTTAAATTTTAAGAATTTTTCAATTTAAAGCTTTCCTATTAGATTAATTTTGCTGCCATTTTTGTCAGGTTGAATGCATGTTTGAAAATTAAGATAGGAAAAAGAATGATTTTGGTTATTTCAGAAACTAAAAATTAGTTTCCATTTATTAATTAAAAAAAAAAACAAACTATACAGCAGACAATGGCTACTTTTCTCCTGGTATTAGCATTTTTAATATCCTGAAAGGTAAACAGATTCTTATATGGAAAGATGACTTTTTTTTATATACCATATCCTCATTACTAACTTGTTCATATTGACCCAATTAAAAGTGTTGATGTTCCAAATAAATGAAAAAAAAACTGACTGGTAATATTACTCATCTCTTTTTGTTTATTTGTGCCATTAATTTTTGCCTCCAGACTGGCACAGAGGGATTACAGTGACAGCAACACTGATAAAGACTGGAGAGTGAAAATGTTACAGGGTTAATTGCCACTAGCAGGCTCAGGTTTTTTCTTGTTTTATGTGTCTTTTCCTTTCATGGTCATGGCTCTCCACAACTTTGCTTATTTTGCCCCTTTACCATCCCTCTTTAATATTCTTCTGCTATCTATTCACTCCAACGTGGGGCACTCTGATGTGGTATAATGGTTAGCAAGATTGTCTTGTTAGATCAATTATTACTGAGTAGTGATTTCAGTTCTCACTGGATGCTCTATTTTTTCAGCCTTGTGCCACATCTAAGTAAATCACTATTCACTCAAAGTTGTTAAGTAGGTTACTCACTGTTTCTCTCTTGTCTTCAGTATATCTTGTAAGTATTAAATTCTCCTAGCCTTTTTCCTCCTTAACTGTCCTAGAAGTTTCAGCTGACTCAGAATGTTTCCTTGTTCTTATTCCCCCATAAAACAGCCTTGTTATTCACATGTACTTTCAGCTTGGCCTTTCACCGCCCACTCCTTATCAGCTTTGGTTTGTCTTTAATCATCAAGTTCCAGTCTAAAGGCAAAAATCAATCCCACTGATAAGCCAAAACAAATTGAGTGTATTAAAAATCATCTCTTTCTCTTATTTGGGTCATCTATACTCTTAATTGTGGCAATGTGAACACGTTAGTAGTGACTTGGTTTCACTCTGGCAGTATTGATGGTAAACATGTTTTGTGCAGCCTGTTGAAGTATAGGTATGGTTATATGTGTCATTTCTTGTATGTAAAACTTTTAAAACATACAACAAGCAATGAAATATGCAGTTAGATTGCAATGTCATTTTCTTCAAAAGCTACCTATACTGATTTTATTTGCGTCATCATTTAAGAGACTTAACTATTACATGAGCTGAAATCACCAAGAGTACCAATCCACACTAAAACAAAATTGTACCTCATATACATTCTTCCAGTTGTTTTATATGGTTTAGATTGTGCAGCACAGCCTTAAAAACATAAGGTGTGCTAAAATCAACAAGAGTACCATTCCACGCTAAAATGAAGATATACTTTATATACATTTTTCCAGTTTCTTTATATGGTTTAGATTGTGTGCTATTTGTTTACATCCCCATGGTAGTGGGATGTTACACAAGGTCATTTTTAATGTGGGGTGCCAATGAGCTCAAAACTTCTTGCTCAAATTTTAAGTTAATAGGTTTTGGTCTGGTCCCTCTTGCCAAAATTTAGCTTAGTAACAGCCAAACTCGGCGCAAAAAAGGTTGGGAAACTTTGTCATTACGTCCAATGACGGGAATCTCGCATAACACAGTTAACAGAGACTTGAAACCATGAATATACAACCATAACAAGTGAGATAAAGAAGAAGGAAAAACCACTTGAAATAGCTATAAAATTTATTGTGGGAAAAGAAAAAAAAGAAAATGAGGGGGTGGGGGGAATAGTCAGATGTTAAAGTTCACTGGTACAACTTGAAAATAACTGCCAAAAATGTCCCTTTGGTGAGCCCTTAAAAAGGACTCCAACAACAGTTCAGAGAGAGTGAAAGAGGTAGAGAGATAACAGAAAGAGGGGAAAAATTAGATTTACAGTTCAAAAAAAAAAGCTTTAGTATTTTTTTTTAGTAGCTGGGCAGAAAGGTTTTTTAGATATTTTGAGTTGCTCTTCTTGGAAGATAAGCAAGATTCCTGTTAAGAATAAATGCAGACTTGTTTTTTCAAACTTTCTCTGCGACACAAATTCAACTTCTTAGAAGATTTTTTTTTCATATACTTTTTTCACATCAGGATTTCGTCCTCCAATAGGACGAAATAACTCCTCGAAGGAAGGTAGTTTTTCAGCCGCTTGACTGACTTGTTTCTCTCTTCGACCCGATTGTCGAAAGAAGACTTCCTTGTGAATGTTCTATTGTAAATTTTCTTTACAATAATTACTTTAACCAATTTTTTGATAAGTCTTTACTGACTTGTCCTTGGTAGCTGAACAATAATCCACTTGATTACTGGAACAGAATCTTCAAGCAAGTTTCCTTTTCGTCGCAAGACAAGACGACTTATCGTCTTCACACTGCGGCGCCCTTTTCCTTGTCAGAGCAACAACAGGTTATCTTCAAGCAAGTTTCTTTTTGTTGCAAGACAAGACGACTTCGTCTTCACACTGCGAACACACTTTTCCTTTCTGGCTACTACTGACTAGATTCCTCTAATCTAGTCGAAAACAAGCTGGAAAATCATGTACGACCAATCGTTAGACACGATTTCGCCACGTGACACAGCAGCAGTTCTTACACTGCACACAGGGGGAAAAGGAGAGGAGGAAGGAAAGTAAGAGAGATAGAAAGATAGATACAGAAATTAAATTTCTGACACTCTCTCAGGAAATCAGTGTGAATACTAATTCACACAGTAACAAAGATACGTCTTATATACATTCTTAAAATTGTTTTATGTGGCTTAGATTTTGTAACATTAAACCATATAGCTTTTATTTAAAACTTTTTTAAACAATAGAATGTTGGGTTGCCTCACTTCATTAGAAATGTTTATAATAAAAAAAAAGACTGAAATTATAATTAATAAAGTAATTAAATATTTGGTTTGTTTTTTATTCATCTTCTTGTTGCTTTTCATCACAACTTTCTTGGTAGGTTGAATGCCATCCTATTAAATTGTTAAATAACACAAATGACCAGTACAAGTATTGAACTGATAGCTTTCAGCTGATGTAAACTTGTGCTTTAATAAGTTGACCTGTTCCACCTGCAGTGGAAATGGGTTCTGACCATTGAATTCTATATAAACATTTGCCACTGAGGAGACAAAAAATTTCTTTGCTTGGTGAAGTTATATCATATTAGATCAACAATCCAGTCCTTAAAATGAGTAGCAGGAAATAGGAAAAAAAAAAGAAAAGTAATCGCTCCTAGTAAGACTTGAACTTCAAAGGTTATTTGTCCTCAGAAGCTGTGAGAATAAGCAACAATATGATGACAAAATCTAAATAAATAATGAATAATTATGAAAACATTTGTTTTTTTTTTTGTAATGAGACATTATTTTTTGTTTATAGCCACTCCCCCATCACAGCGTGTCCAGTTTTTGCTTGGTGAAGGAGATGAAGTTGATGAAGAGCACAGGCCACACGACATCTTCTGTGAAATGGCTGAACTTCACTATGTCGATGGCGAGATGGAATGGAAAGAAAGTGCCAGGTAATTTTTACCTTTTTTTTCTTTTGGTTGTGGAAAGATTTGTTTCGTTATTCATCCTGGGCAACTTATAAACCAAACTTAGAGAAACTTGTGATGGCATTTCTGATTGTACAATTGAATGGTCATTACTGTTTAGCTTCTTATCTTTCTTGTTGCTTTTGATATTAATGTGCTTCATCCAATCTTTACTTCAGCTGTCCTCAGGTGAACAATTTAGATGGAAGATATCTTGTTTCAAATAACATTCTATAATTTTGAGAAGATTCATTATCATTCCAACAATTGTTTCCTTCTTTTTCAAGGTATGTAGTTCATCTGAGCACTTTCTAAGGTAGTAACAATAGAGCAGTGAGAGGCTTGAGGGTGGAAAATAATTCTTCACCAACAAGGATTCGGAGACACTTTTGAACTCTATCAAGACTGAAATGTGAGGACTGGGGATCTCCCTCTCAAATATGCCAACAGTATTTTCGGCCTGATCTGGATCTTATAAAGGTAGAGGATAGTATGAGGAGTCAGATACTTGAGTGGTAAAGAGAGCTGAGCATTTTACTACCATCTTAATGTAAATCAGAAAGACAGTTGGTCCAAGAAGTGACCCCTGGGGGATGCCTGTGTTGACTATCAGGGCCTTGGAGGACCATTAATAACTACCTTCAGGGATCTACCTGTTAGAAAGGATTTTTATAATTGAGAAAACTCTTCCAGTGATTCCATAGCATGGAGTTGGAGAACTTGTGTAGCAAATTTTGTGCCACATTTAGTCAAAGGTTTTTGAGATATCTAATTTTATGGTCCTCATAGTGTGTGTATCATCAAGGGCCTGACTAACTCTGTGTTTAATGGTAGAATAAAACCCATCCTGCGTGTTGCACAAGAGGTTGTTCCTGTCTAGGTGCTTGAAGACTTTCTTGTTGATTAAAACCTCAAAAAGCTTACTGATGATACTAAGGAAACTAACAGGTCTATACTGGGAGGGGGACGATCACTTGCCCACATTCTTGAAGACCGGGCATATTTCTCCTTTAAGCAGCAGTTAAATAACTTTGCTAGAATTGAGAATAATTTTAGGTTGATATTCTTAAGGATGACTGCTGGAATTTTGTCTAGTCCAGTGGCTTTTTTGTGTCAAGGCTTTTGATGAGTCTAGAGACTTCTCTTACTGGATTTGAATATATTACTGATATCGTGCTCAGTGAGACATGAGAAGTTGAGGAGCGGATGGCCTTTGTTACCTAATGTTGAGTTTGAGGCAAAGTGCTTAGCCTTATCTGTTGAGGAGGATATGATCTTGGAGCCATTTATCATAGTGGGCACATCTTCTTTACCTCTGTTCATAATTTGGTTGGGGATCTTCCAGAATTTGTGCAATCCAAGTGAAATCTTATCAAACTCTGCTTGGACAACTTGGGCATTGCTGCATTTGGCATTTTTCAGAACTCTCTTACAGTGATTGCAGATGGTTCTGAAAGAATTAAGGGCCAGACTATGCCATTCATTGTGATAGATTTTGAAGTAGTGGTACTAGTGAGCAATGACTGCAACACATTCAGAGTTGAAGTCAGGCTGACTGGTTTTTGCTATAATATTCTGGTGGGTATAAAGCACTCCATTTCAGAAAGGATCCATTCAGAGATTAGAGCAGAAGTTTTTTGGGTGTCATGTTTCTCTCTGTCTGCCTTCACATAGTAAAAAACTGTTCTATGGAATGGTTTAATCAGAGGTTGTCATTGTTTTGGAATCAATTTGGACACTGACTAGGAAATGCTCTGATATGCCTATGGAGGGTAAATCTTTTACTGAGCATTTGTCAGGGCAGGATGTTAGAAAAAGGTTGAGAAGGTTTGCCTGCTGTCCCATCACTGTCATACTTGGGACTTGGGTGGGTTCTTCAATGACCTGGGTTAGTTCATAGTTCTCTGCAATATCTACTTTCCTCATCGGCTTTGTTCAAGTGGACTAACCAATCTTTAGTGAACATTGAAGTTGCTGGATATGTGAAAGCTGGCCAAGGGATATTCATTGAGGATATTGTGAATCCTCTCTGATATTCGATTGAAGATTACTGACCCCCTATCATGAAAACTTAACAGAGCAAAGACAAATGTCATACTATGGATAAGTGCCATGCAGAAGTACATACACAGAAGATCAAGGTTCTCATTTTTTGTGTCACTGCCACAGGGAAACCTGTCCTTAATGTAGCCACCAAGTCCATGGCCATGACAATTTAAGTGGTTGACATACAATCCATATGGAAAGAACAGTGGAGAGGGTGGTTTCTATTTTTCCTTTTCCATATAGATTGTCTTAATGAAGAAGGCTGTAAAAATGATTGTCTGGAATATTGCAGTATTAACAAAAAGAATCATTATTCTGGACAACTCTTGTCATGATAATTAATCATTGGTATTGTGGTTTTGCTTTGTCAAAATTTTGACAGATTTTGACATCATTTAATTAAAACAGCTGTTTCTGTCATTTTGTTTGTCAGTCTGAAGACAATTCAATTAATGTGGTAATGAGTTCAATTCTAGATGAATCTTATTATTATTTAGGATTTTGGTCACTTAGCAACATAAATAATTTAAGAAAATGCTACCAGCTAACCACTGAGACTTGAACATGCAGTCCCTACCTGAAGAAATAAATACCTTATTCATGTTTTATATATATATATATATATATATATATATATATATATATTAGATCTTTAATCTATTTATCTACACCAGAAAGACCTGTAAAAATTTCATGGTTTTCCTATTTAAATTTTCTGATGAAGCTTAATTCTTCAGTTTATGACTGAATAAGCTAATTGTAGTTTCTATAATAAAATATCTGTAGAAATTCCCCAGTCACATTATTAAATATTTGTGTTTTAACAACTTTAACAAAATATTACAATAACAAAAGGTTGTGAGTTCAATACCTAACCACAGCAGAGGTGAACAAAAACTTGGAGAGTTGATTTACTAAAGGGAAATAACTGAAACTGAGATATCCAGAAAAGGCATGGCACGTGGAATTAGAACAATCTACCCCTGTGGACTAAATAAAGGGTTCAGTTTGAAATTCTAATGTATATCATCCTGAAGAAGGGTGGAGCGCTCAATGGCTGAAACTTCACAAACAAGGCAATAAAGATGAGGACAACAGTTCAAATGATGTAAATAGTGTAAATAGTGTTACAATACTTCATCTCAGAAATACAGACACATGAATACCTAAGTCATTGCCATAGCTTCTTCATCATCATTACATCGGTCTTGGGAGAGAAAGCAGGAACATTGTTTTTTATTAGTAGATTCATTTGGAATGTGGTATGAAATACTTAAATGATCAGTGCCCATCTCTCCCACATCTGTGTTTATATATATATATATATATATATATATATATATATATATATATAACCTAGGAAGAGATTAAATAGATTGTGGTTCTCATTTAATCCTTGTTATATATATATATATATATATATAAAGTGAACATAGAAGTCAACATGCAATCGCCAGTCTGTTTCATGCATATAGCATGAAACAGACTGTCGCCTCTAAGTGTTGACTTCTATGTTCACTTTTATATTTACACACGCCTATCTCTGATATTGAGCACTTTATCCCATAAATAAAGCACACCTTAAGACTATATTTCTTTTATATATATATATATATATATATATATATATATATATATATATATATATAGTATTTACATTAATGGACTATTGTCCTCATCTTTTTTGCCATATTATCCCATAAATAAAGCATACCTTAAGACTATATTTCTTTATATATATATATATATATATATATATATATTTACATTAGTCGGACTATTGTCCTCATCTTTTTTATATTTGTCACAACGTTTGCTGTTGCACGCCCGCCTTCTTCAGGTGGTTGGAATTTCAACTTAAGAAAGCCGGAGCGCATAAACGGCCTAAACGTTGTGACAAATAAGGCATAAAGATGAGGACAATAGTCTGACTAATGTAAATACTGTACATAATACCTCATCTCAGAAATATAGACATATATATATATATATATATATATATATATATTTGTGTGTGTGTGTTTTATATGTAATTTTTAATAGTAAAAAACATTGTTTTCCCAGTTTATTATTCTTCCAGAATTAGATTTGGATGTTGTATTTGTGTCTGTATTAAATCCTTTGGAATTTTACAGAGAGCTGTTTGATTATTAACCTAGTTTCCAAAATTAGTGCAGGCTTTATTCTGTCAGTTGAGATGGTATTCTTCACCTTGTCAGAAATTTTTATGGTGATGTATTTCTAATTATGATTTGAAACCTCAAATGGACATGTGTATGGTGCTTTCAAGAAACTCTTCCTGTTTATAACCAAATATATTTACAGGTATTTAGATCTTTTGGAACATGTGAATTGGGTAAAGAATGCAAACGTCCATTGGAGAGTTTGTTGATCTCAAATTTTTGCACTTCTTTAGTGACATTCTTTAATTGTGAAATTGTTAGTGTTGATTCCATTCTAAGTAGTATTGACTGCAAAAACATCCTCCTCACCAAAATTATAGGCATTGTGCATGCTGGCATTTCTTCCTTGCCAATAATATAGAGCACTTTTCAATCTATCTGGCATATTCTTATTCTTTCTTGTCTTGAAATCAGAATGTTGCGATCATTTGTCTCTATCCCTTTTATATGTTAACACCATTCTTAGTTTGTGAACTTTTTGCCTTATTACTGTTGCTTGGCCTACTTTTGTCATGCATATATATATATATATATATATATATATATATATATATATATATAAAAAGGCAGAATGTGTGTGTGTGTGTAACAAATGTATGGTTGCAATTTTGATGGATTTGCACCAAAATTTACATGCACATGCTCCAAGTTAGTGGGAAGGCCAAGACTGACTTTGCATTTCCCAACTCCCATTGATAGTGGAAATAATCGATTTTTTTCATGCTTCTACAGCAGTTTTCATGTAGTTTGTGGCCA